CAAATTTGCTGCCCGCAATCGTTGAAAGACTTCTGTCAAATTATTGGCATGTTCATCGAAGGATCTTCCTACTACAATTACATCATCCAAATAAACCAGGCATGTTTTCCATGTTAGACCTCTTAAAACTGCCTCCATTAATCTTTCAAATGTGGCCGGGGCATTACATAAACCAAAGGGCATAACTGTGAACTGCCAAAGCCCTGATCCTATCGAGAATGCGGTTTTCTCACGATCAGCTGGCTCCATGTCTACTTGCCAATATCCACTTTTCAGATCGAGTGTGGAGAACCAACGAGAACCAGAAAGTGTATCCAAAGTATCGTCTATTCTGGGCAAAGGATAACTATCTTTTTTAGTTACCGCATTGAGCTGTCGGTAGTCAATACAAAAACGTGTTGAACCATCTTTCTTCTTTACTAGCACTACTGGTGATGTCCATGGACTATTTGATGGTTCAATTACCCCTTGTTTGCTCATATCTTTGATGATGTCTTCGGCTTCATCTCTTTTCGCAAATGGAAGTCGTCTAGGTTGTTGTCTGATTGGCTGAGCGTCTCCGGTATTAATTTTGTGCTTTACTATGCTTGTCTTGCCATTATCCTTCTTATCAATGGCAAAAACATCTTGAAATTCTATTAGCATAGACTTCACTTTTTTAGTTCGTTCATCATCAAGATCTTGGCACGTTTTAATCATCGTCTCAACAAGCTCCTTTGGATACTTAGATTTCGACGGTTTTTCATTAGTACTCATGGAACAAATCGAAGCCACGGGAACGCACTGTCCGATCAAAGTTCTTTTACTCAACTTAATAGCAGTTCCCTTTAAATTCATAACTCTTACAGGAACGACATCTCGAATTCTCACCAAAGCTTTTGCCGTTAGGAACTCGGCATTGTTCACATCTTCGACCATCCTTAAACTTCCCTCTCGACAGTAACCATCAGGTTTGGTCATCAAAATTTTCTCACTATTACCGGGTATTGTTACGTCGCAAGTAGTTATTAAGCTGATAACATCTTCTTTGTCTTCATGAAACGGCAACACTTCACCACTGATCTCGAGAACTCCATCTTTGACATTCAATACAGCCCCAACTTTCCTTAGTAAATCCATCCCCAATATGAACTCGTCGGAGATCTCTGCAATTAATACTCGATGTTTCACTGTGGTCTGGCCAATGGATACTGACATATTAGCCTCACCATATGTATTAATTATCTCACCAGTTGCAGTTCTAAGCTTTACTGTTGCAGGCGATAATTTAAGATGGTCTCGTACTACTTCTGGCCGTGCAATAGTTCTTGTTGCACCTGTATCTACCAAAAACGATCTACATTTATTGTTAATACGACCCTCGATGTACAAGCTATGAATTCCACCGGAGGACGTAATGTTCACAGTTACTATGGGGGCTGTGTTTCTCGAGGTCGGCAGTTGCCCCTTGGTGTCGACCCGTTCTAGTTTTCCGACTGTTGTATTATTTTCTTGCAATTACGACGAATGTGACCTACGTCACCACAATTCCAACATCTGGGCTCACGTTTCTTCGGCATCGTGTTACGAACTACTTTTCGTACCATTTCTTCCAGACGTTCATCGTTTGGTTCGTCGCCTTCTTCAATGGTTCTTACTCGATGGCTCCGTGAAGTTTGACTAGCTGTTTCATGTTCTAAAGCAATAGCGAGCGCTTCATCTAGAACTTTCGGTCTTGCTAGTCGTAAAGCTTTCTGCAATTCACTTTCTTTTAACCCATTGACGAAGGTATCTACAGCGATTTCTTCCAAAATGTTGTCTGGTACCTCAGGATAAGCCAACCGCACTATACGAGCAACATCTGCTTCAAACTCTTGCAAATTTTCACTTGCTCGTTGAACTCTACTTCTTAGTTGCGCCTTGTAGACTTGTTGTAGATGAGCATCTCCGTAACGTTTGTCTAGTCGAGTGAACAATGTCTGGTAACATTTTTCTTGACCCTTAGGAATCGATCTTAGGATATCTGCAGCATCACCTCGTAAAGCAGCAGTCAAGGAAACAGCTTTTTCTTGTTCTGTCCAATGATTGGCTGTTGCAATAGCTTCAAATTGTCTAAGGTATATGGACCAAGAGGACTTTCCATCAAATGGTGGCAATTTGAATCTCATATGATGTGTCGTTTCGTCTCTCGGTAATTCTTCTTTTACTACCGGATCTAAGGCTACTTTATTAACTGGTGGTAGCACTTTTGTGTTAGTTATCATTATTTCTAATTGTTTGATCTTCTCTTCTACGTCTTCTATCTTGTCGTTTACATTTTTCTGTATCTTATCGAATGTTCTTGAGACTTCTTCAAATTTCTCATTGTTTTGGTTACATACTTCGTCGAATCTTCTAGACATATTTTCAAATTTCTCGTCATTTTGTCTAGCTATTTCTTTAATAATTTGAGACGTTTCATCGAATCTTTCATCATTCTTTCGAGAAGATTCTTCAATCATTTGTGACGTTTCATCGAATCTTTTGGAAACGGTATCGAACTTATTATCATTTTTCTTAGAAGTTTCTTCTATCTTCATTAAAACTGCTTCTTCTGCTGATTGAAAATGGAATGTCTCTGGGTCATCTCCATTCTTGTTAAGAACATTCTTTAGTCGTTCTTGGAGGATCTTCTTGGACCCGCTGCAGTCTTCATCGCGTTCTTCAAGTTGCTCACGCAACTGTTTTACTGAAAGTTGTACTAGCAGCATCTTTGGTCAGGCACACACGTACTTTTTAAATGTTCTTTCGTACAACGATCACTACTGAACTACGCGGATGTTCCCGACGAACAATACTTTTCAAAAGTTCAAAAGTCTTTTTCAAAAGTCACTGTTGACTATTTTCAAATCTCACACCGGACACCACTGTAGCGAGATTAAATAAAACGAGCGGTTCGAATTTATATAAATATATTTATTTATAACTTTACAGTTCGGTATTCTCTTATCAACTAAACTTACTCCTAACACCGTTACATATATATACCAAAGTATTATTTTCGAGAATATTCGGGAGTAGTCCCACCTCTAATTCGTTATCTGATGGGTGGAATTTTACAGCGCTTGATGTATCGCCGACACTTCTCGATGCTTCGAGATGCGACCGTAAGGCGGGCCACTTAGATGCTGTGAGCTGTTGAATGCATGTTCGTAACAATATATTCGATTTCTTCGTTCCACCATATTTTGTTACCAATTTTGTTTTGCTGTGTCCCGAGTGTCTCCTTAGAGGCCTGGTGTAAACTAGCAATAATATTCTCGTAAATATCTGAAAATGCTGGTCTCTCTATTTCTCGTAGTTTTTCATCCAGTCGTCGTTGGTATAGCTGTTTAGTACTATCATTTATAAAACTATTGAAGTTGTACTTCGGAGTGTCCACTGTCTGCAAGTCTTGCTTGTCTTCTAGGTTTTGGTCTCCGTGTATTATCTTAAATGGGAACAAAATTTTCGCTCTTACTAAGTAGTGATCGGATCCACATGTTATTCCTCGGAGAACTCTAACATCATTCCACTGCAATAAATATTTTTGTTTACTAATAATATAATCGATGACTGATTTTAGATTGCGTGTTTGTTGAATCCAGGTATATCTATGTATGTCCTTATGTTTGTAGAATTCATTGCTAATTTTTAACTTCTAGCTCTCACATAAGTGTATAAGTCTACCGAAATTATCATTAGTTACCATTTCTCCAAAAGGTCCTACTACTCTACTGTTTTTCTGATATCCCGTTCTACTATTGAAGTCTCCAAGCATAACTATTTCTCTGTTTTTTCCTATGTTGTTAAGTATATCCTCGATTTTTTAAAAGAAATCTTCCTTCACGTTGATTGTTGTTGCATCATCAGAGGGAGCATAAGCGGCTATCATGGTAATCTTGTGCCCATATATGTCTATATTTACTCTTAGGATATTCTCATCAATTGTTTCCCAGTCAGTGATATTATTCTTAAGTTTTTTCTTTATTAGTATTGATACTCCCCTAGCGGCTCTTTTATCTTTCGGGACTCCAGTGAATATATGTATATAATTTCCTACCATATCAGTGCCAGTTCCTTTTTTCTTTGTTTCAGTTAGTGCTATAATATCCATTTTCATTTGTTCTAGATCAGGCACAATGATATGAATCTTTTGTCTTATCCCCTGTATATTCCATGTACCAATATTCATAATCCGTTTTCTTAGCTTTGGTCGTTTCCTTGTAAACCCATCTAAAGTTCCGAGGCTTTGTTTAGGCTTTTTGCTATGTTAAAATTTTGACGAGTATTGGAGAACCAGTCCAATGCCACAACCCCCAACCTGGAGGATCGGGTAATTTGTGATCAAGGTTTTCTTCCTCTAGCCTTTGACGATCCAACGACTATAACTACAAGGCAGCAGCTTGATTCTATACAAACCCTAAAATCAAAGGTTGCCACTTCCGCCCTCCATGCCGTAGTGAAGATATTCTTCCCCGCCACGAATGCCGTTGTAGACTTCATCCGTAACCCTGGACAAGGGACCCTAAACAGGTACTAGTTTCCTGGGCCAGGAAACGCCTGGAATCTGCGGAAGGCAGGGATTGATTCATTTTCCCTGATAGGACTATCCTATCCAATAAAAGATAAAAGTTGATAAGTTACTATTAGAAACAAATAATGTATAGTATTATGTAAAATCATTGGCAAACGATATTTGTAAATTGCATAAAATTGTACGTGAGGACTTGTTGAGAACTCCTGGTTTATTCCGTTTATTTTGAAAGATAGACAATAGAGAACGCCATCGCTCACTGCATTAAAACAAGCAACGTCTTGGCGAAATTCCCATAAGGTTAGCATTGCATATTTTCCCTGTACAGACTAGTCACTTTGAGACAAAGTATAGGTCGAACCGATATCGATAAAAGATTGCAAAAGTTTTTATATTATGTTTATTATTTTATTATTATGCTTTAATCTAAATTTCAAGATAAATCTTAATATTTTTTTTTTTTTAGTATTAGGATTACTTAATTGTAGTCTCAATTGTACAATTGTAAGAAAAAACTTATTTAAAATGTGCCTTGAAGTCGATAATCAGAAGTACTATGGGTCAGGGAAATCAAAAGTTTATGCCCGATTTGATGCAGCAATAGAAGCACTAAAAGACATTTGCACATTCTACGACGCAAGCACTTCAAAACTTTTCTCACAAAATAAGGCATTAAAAAAGGCACTAGGAAGATTTCGCAGATTGGGAGATACCATTATAGACATAAATATAAATGATCCTACAAACGTTCTTGAAGTATTCAATAGATTATATTATGAATCGAGTTTTACCTACACTAGGTCATGGAATCCGATAGATAATCCACAATGTAGATTTACAGCATCAGTGAAAATAAATGATCAGATTTTTACAGGAACTGGACCTAATAAAAAAATAGCAAAACAATCTGCTGCCGTTGCTGCTTTAAGTAAACTTGAGGACCATATTTCAGCAGAGATGTGTAGTTATTCGATTCTTCAAAAGGACCAGTGCTTTTCTGATTCCATTGGGCGCTTAGTTAATGATAAATTTAACGCTCTAATGGTCAACGATAAAGTCCATATGAAACGAAAAGTTCTAGCAGGTAAGACATTTTGGTAGAGAAATTTATTTAGAGAGAATTATAAGAATTTGATTGAAACTTTATTATTTGGTATTGAGAAATAGTCCAGTTACTGAGGGTTTTACCTCCGAATTCTTTATAACTAAATCGATTCATTTGAAATTTTGTGTGTTGGTAAATAATTACATAAGGAATAAAAGTTATAGTGCCGATGTGCGCTTCCACCCTGGGGGTGTTTGCCACCCCTTTTCGAGGTTGGAAATTTTTTCACTCAAAATAACCACGCTATTCGATAGGACAAATTTCCAACAAAAAATGTAGTTAACATTTTTTTCGCCAGATCAATACTTTTTGAGTTATTCGCTGTTGAAAAGTGTCATGTTTCGTTTAAAAAATCATGTTTTTCAAAATGTAACGACTAAAATTAAAGCTCATAAAAAAAACAAAAATATTGGCTTTTAAATGAATATTTTCAGTTCAATATTAACTGAGTTATGGCTGTTCAAAGAAGGTTTGTTTTTGTCTTTCAATGCGAGTATTTAACGTTAAATAACGGAAAACGGGTACATTTTTCGACAAAAACTCATACCTATAATATTTTTAAAAGAGCTTGAAAAGACCTTTAAAATGAGTGGTGGTAAAAGTTTTTTTCACTGTACGTGAGATACGATCAAAAAAACGATGGGTTTCTCAAATTTTTGTAAAAAAAACGCAATTTAACTAACGTCATGTTCACTAGGATTGAAATAAATTGTTTTCCTAATAGAATTCAATTTATTTTAGTGTTTTTGTATGATCCAAAAGTTTAGCCACTTTAGAATACCCAGTTTTTCAAAAAAGTATGATTAAATTTTTTTTTTTGTAAATATAAAAAAAAAATCTTTTTTTTTATAATTTCAAAACTATAAAAGATACGTAAAAGATGACAAAATACAACAAATAGGTTTTTTTTTCAACAAAAATTTTCATTTTTTAATTTTTTTTTGTAGCTCAAAAAATAACGGAGATATAGTTAGTGGAAGTTTTATAGCGTCATGCTTTATAGCGCATGAACCACTGGTTCCGACCTTTTGACCCTTCACCCTTTAAACATGAAAGACTTTAGAATGTTTTAACATTCCTATACTTATAGCCCGTTAAATTACCTGTAAAATCGTTTTTTTATGCATGTTGTAGCATCCCAATGGAACTAATAGACATTTAATATATACATATGCATCAATGTATCTCTCTCTCTCTCTCTCTCTCTATATATATATATATATATATATATATATATATATATATATATATATATAAAATAAAGTTTTATTTTGAGGATGCAGTCATTTAAGTAGGGCTTAAATGACTATGTATATATATATATATATATATATATATATATATATATATATATATATATATATATATATATATATATATATATATATATAGTAGTTTTGTCAGTTCGTAGTTCGTTATTGTGTAGGTCAGTTCGTTAATGTCTGTGTCACGTTTTACGTTTTCTTGACAAAGGCAAGGGTTTCCTGCCGAAACGTTGATTAATTGCAATGGAAAATAAAATCTAGTTCCACATGTAACATATCTTTATTGAACCTAACCCAAGAAATATTAATTATATATATATATATATATATATATATATATATATATATATATATATATATATATATAACAAGTTTTGGTCGGGATCGTTTTTTTAGTTTTTTGGAAAATAAAAAAATTGTAATATATTATAAACTAAATTTTTTCTATTTATGTCCATGTCTAAGTTAAGGATTTAAGGATTTTATTTTCATCAAAAGGGGTGCTTATAAGGGTTGAAAAAAGTAGGCTCATTTTATAAGTAAAAAATTAATTTTTGTCTACAAACAATGCACTCTAACAATGTTTCGAATCGGTAAATTCATTTTTGACAAAGGGAGTGGTTGTTAGGGTTGAAATGTTGAAATTATAATAAAATGTTATTTTGTAATCAAGAAATTAATTTTTGTTTAATAAAATGCACTCAAGAAATGTTTTAGACCAATAAAAATATATTAAATTAATTTTTAAAAAAAGGGGTTGGTTGTGAGGGTTAAAATGTTGAAATTATAATAAAAAGTTATTTTATATGCAAAAACTTAATTTTCGTCAAATAAAATGCACTCAAGAAATGTTTCAAACCGATAAAAATATTTTTTAATTCATTTTTAATTCATTTTTGTCATAAGGGTGGTTGTAAGGGTTGAAAATTTCCAATAAATAAAATATTATGGTATAGCTAGGGTATTAATTTTTATTTGTATTTAAATACATAATTGAAATGTCTTAAGCTGCTACGACTTTTTTTTTCAAATATTTTTATAAAAAGTATTAGCTTTTAAGGGTATTTAAAGGGTTTTAAGGGTTGAAAATTGTGAATAATTAATATTCATATTAGAGAACACATTACAATATTTACCTTATGCGAATAAACAAGATTTGAATGCATAAAATAATTAAATCCGTGTTTTTCCCAGTTTCTTCAATAAGGGGTAGTTTTCACGCTTTAAAAACAAAAAGCGCACCTAGAGCGTATATAACTTTTGAAGTGGAGGGTAAGATAAGCTTAATTTGAAATTTACAAAGAAATCGATGCAGTTATAAAAAATTTGGAGGTATTAATTACCATATTTTAAGCCTCAGTAATTGGATTAAGAGAGATATAGACATAATAGATTATAGGACATAATTCCAATTATGTATGAAAAAAAGTTTTTTTAAATTTTTTTTGTTTATTGCAATGTGTTTTTATAAACAATATAACAATAAACAATATGTTTGAAAGAGATAGAAAAAATGATATAGTGAGAGGTACACTGTCATTTTTTTCTCCGACTATTAGTCGTCTTCAGAAATACGTATTTCTTGTTTAAAACGCTCTAAACGTTTGGCATTCCTATCCTCAGGTAGCTTAGATTCCTTCGTGGATGTGTTAGTTGTTGCTCTGGAAACCTCAGAGTCTTCCAACATTATTTCCACAAATTAGTCACATTGCTCCTGCAGTGATCCTTTCCGAAGTTAATATGCCCTTTTTTTAACATAATTGTACCGTACTGAAGACGACCAATAATCAGAAATACGTATATACGTTGCCTTTAAACTTATACACATATTTATTATGTTGTTTTCTTTTGTTGCGAGCTATGCCGATAGCTTTGCGTTTATTATCCAGATTTAGCCATACGGCTTACACTCCCTCTAACATTCAAATAATCCCAGGTCCCTAGGGTATCAAAAGTAATGAGCTCTGGTGGGACTCTTTCCGTGTTATCGAGCCCTAGCTGACTTGGTATGCTGGAGTATCTCCCAAAAAATTTCGTACATATCTGGATGTCGCGAGAAGTACAGCTTTCTGCATGGCCTTATAGAGATGTTCATTTCGAACTAGCTGTATTATGTTCTCTAAGAGGTTTTTGGGAATAACGCCAGTAGTAGATAGAATAATAGGTACTGTCTGGGTACTTTCCATTCTCCATTGTCTCCTTTTTTGTATTTCTAGATCTCTGTACTTGGCGATCTTTTCATTATATTTAACACACAATTTTATTATTATTATCCAGATTTCGGCATACGGCTCACACTCCCTCTAAGGGTAAAATTCACTTATCGCAGATACCTACGGTTTCAAAAGGATTGAGCCCTGGTGGGACTCTTTCCGTGTTATCGAGCCCTAGGTGACTTAGTACGCTGGACTATCTCCCAAAAATTTTCGTACACATCTGGACGTTAAGAGTAGTACAGCTTTCTGCATGGTCTTGTAGAGATGTTCATTCAGACCTAGCTTTTTTATATTTTCTTCGGAATGACTCCAGCAGTAGAGAGAATAATAGGTATTGTCTGGGTACTTTCCATTCTTCACTGTCTTCTTATTTGAATTTTCAGATCCCTGTACTTAGCGATCTTTTCGTTCTCTTTCTTCTTCAGAGTGTGTTCGTCCACTGCTGGACATAGGCCTCTTCCATTTGCTTCCATCGATTTCTACTTTTGGCAATTCTCATCCACTGCTTGCCCGCGACTTGTTTGATATCGTCTGTCCACCTCTTCTGCGGTCTGCCTACTCCTCGCCTGTTCTCTCTTGGTCTCCAGTTTGTTAATCTTTGTGTCCATTTTTCGCGTTTTATCTCGGGCAACGTGTCCGACCCATTGCCACTTGAGCCTTGCAATACGTTCTGAGACATCAGTAATTTTTGTTCTTTCACGAATGACGTTATTTCGAATCCTGTCTCTCAAACTAATCCCTAGCATGGCCCTCTCCATTGCTCTTTGGGTTGTACTGAGCTGCTCTAAGGTTTTCTTTGTGAAGGCCATGGTCTCCAGTCCATGTGTAGTTACAGGCAAGATACATTTGTCATAAACTCTACGTTTTAGACACATTGGTATATCTTTATTCTTCAAAATAAAGCTTAATTTGCCGAAAGCTCCCCAAGACAGTTGTATGCGTCTCTTTATTTCGGCTATTTGATTTTCTTTGCCGATTTTAATGGTATGTCCAAGATATATATAGTGGTCTACATTTTCAAGACTGACGTTGTCAATAACAAGATTAGTTTGTAAATTACTCATTATTTTTGTTTTCTGAAGGTTCATTTTGAGACCTATTTTATTTGACTGCTGGTTTAATTCCTTCAACATTTGCTCCAGTTCCTTGATATCTGTACTAAATACTACTATGTCATCCGCAAACCTCAAATGACTCAAACGTACACTATCAATGTTTAGGCCTTTTTCCTCCCAGTCAAGCTGTTTGAATACATTTTCCAATGCTAAGGTAAAAAGCTTTGGTGAAATAGTATCACCTTGTCTAATACCTTTATCAAGGCGCATTTTTTCAGTTTTTCGTCTTCATTGATTTTGATGTGGAATGTGGTCTGTTCATAAATGTTTTTAATGAGTGTAGTGTACCGTGAGTCTATTCGAGCATCCTTCAGGGCTGACAAAAAGGACCAAGTCTCAATACTATCGAAAGCCTTGTGAAAGTCGATAAATGCCATATGTAAAGGTACATTATATTCTG